GGGTGTCATTTTCATAGTTTTCGCGGGTGTTGAAGCCGATAGTGTTGTCGAAATGTAAATCCAAGGTAGCGGCTGCAATAGGTATCAATTTTTTCATCATGGGTGTCATTTTCATGGGTTTCGAGGGTGTTGTAGCCGATAGTGCTGTCGAAATGTAAATCCAAGATGGCGGCTGAAGTAGGTACCAATTTTTTCATCATGGGTGTCATTCTCATGGTTTTCGCGGGTGTTGAAGCCGATAGTACTGTCGAAATGTAAATCCAAGATGGCGGCTGCAATAGATATCAATTTTTTCATCTTGGGTGTCATTTTCTTGGTTTTCGAGGGTGTTGAAGCCGATAGTGCTGTCGAAATGTAAATCCAAGATGGCGGCTGAAGTAGATATCAATTTTTTCATCTTGGGTATCATTTTCATGGTTTTCGAGGGTGTTGAAGCCGATAGTGCTGTCGAAATGTAAATCCAAGATGGCGACTGCAATAGGTATCAATTTTTTCATCAGAGGTGTCATTTTCATGGTTGTCGAGAGAGTTGAAACCGATAGTGCTGTCGAAATGTGAATTCAAGATGGCGGCTGAAATAGGTACCAATTTTTTCATCATGGGTGTCATTTTCATGGTTTTCGAGGGTGTTGAAGCCGATAGTGCTGTTGAAATATGAATCCAAGATGGCGGCTGCAATAGATATAAATTTTTTCATCATGGGTGTCATTTTCATGGTTTTCGAGGGCGCTGAAGCCGATAGTGCTGTCAAAATGTAAATCCAAGGTGGCGGCTGCAATAGGTATAAATTTTTTCATCATGGGTGTCATTTTCATGGTTTTCGAGGGTGTTGAAACCGATAGTGCTGTCGAAATGTAAATCCAAGATGGCGGCTGAAATAGGTACCAATTTTTTCATCATGGGTGTCATTTTCATGGTTTTCGCGGGTGTTGAAGCCGATAGTGCTGTCGAAATGTAAATCCAAGATGGCGGCTGCAATAGGGTATCAATTTTTCATCATGGGTGTCATTTTCATGGTTTTCGAGGGTGTTGAAGCCGATAGTGCTGTCGAAATGGAAATCCAAGGTGGCGGCTGCAATAGGTATAATTTTTTTCATCATGGGTGTCATTTTCATGGTTTTCGAGGGTGTTGAAGCCGATAGTGCTGTCGAAATGTAAATTTAAGATGGCGGCTGCAGTAGATATAAATTTTTTCATCTTGGGTGTCATTTTCATGGTTTTCAAGGGTGTTGAAGCCGATAGTGCTGTCAAAATGTACTTTAAAAATTCCGTATAATCATGTTATACGTAATTTTTTTAATGCGCTTAAGGTATGCCCAATTGGATTTACCAATATTTTTTTTCTTAATTCTCAGCAGGTTTCCTCACGATGTTTACCTTCACCATCAAGCACGTGATAAATCAGCTCTTAAAATTGCAATTAACAATTTCGTTGTTGCCGGCAGGGACCAAAGCCGGGTTGCTTGCGTACTGTGAAACTTACATCGAGTGCTAACCATCCGAGCTACCACAGCTCCTCATGTAATTTATCTCTTCTTAACTCCGTAGCCTTGTTTTTTTTTATGATAAGGGTGACAAACAAGCACACAGTCCATCTGATGGTAAGTGGATACTGTGGCCCATAGACATCTATTTTCGGTAATGAATCAAAATCCAGCTTCGTTGTCACCCCTGAAGACTAAGATTGAATCTCTGATTCTCTATATTCGCCATATGAAACACAGCAGTATTAAGCTACTATTTTACGCTGGTATTCTGTAAATGCGTGGTCCTTCCTACTCCGATCGAGCTGACCCTTTTATGCTTCCTTCCTTCCTTTTATGCACAACAGCAGATGAAATGAGAATTGAAAAAAAAGACCCTTTTATGCTTCAACCATTATGTATCTGCAACGTGACTCTATCACTTAGAAAATAACGACTTCACAGCACACTGGCTAAGCGTTAGGTTACTGCGATGCAGGACCGCGGATTTGAATTACAATAAAAAAATATTCAAAGCCGCATGGTAATTTAGACAGTCGAAGATCTCGTCATGTATCATTTTTAGAATAAGGGTGGCAAACGAGCACATTGTCCACCTGATAGTAAGTGGATTCTGTGGTCCATAAACATTTACATTAAGCAATTAAGAATCAAATTTCAGTTGCGTTGTTATTGCCTACATAGGTACTTGATTGGAGTTGACGGTCTTCACATCTCGATTTTTTTTCAATATATTAGACATGCAAGCTTCCTCACAATATTTTACTTTACTGTGTACAACGTGGTAAATAAAAACCTTAAAATTGTAACTGACAATTTCATCAATGCAACAGGATTCGAACTCAGGCTGTTAGCGTTCTATGAGATTTTATCACGAGCATTTATCCACTGAACTATCACTGCTATTATATATATATATATATATATATATATATATATATATATATATATATATATATATATATATATATATATATATATATATTACATTACATGAGGATTATATCATGTTACATGATGCGCCTACTATATTATTTCAATTCGCTTTATTAAAATATTTCTTTGGTTATTAGTTGTTTTACCATTCTTGCAGCTATATTTTGGGGTAATGGATTCTTATAACCAGCCACTGTACAACAATCAACTATTTTCTAGAATTTTTTTTTTTTATAGAATTAAGGTGACAAGCGAGCACACAGTCCACCTGATGTTAAGTAGTTGCTGTGGCCCATAGACATCTACATCTATCTTCGTTTGCGAATTAAAATGCAGATGCGTTGTCACCCCGTGAGGACTAAGATGGAATGCCTCTTTTCCAGTAAATAGGGTCTCCGGTTCTCTACACTCATCATACGAAACACAGCAGTGTTAAGCTGCCAATTTACGCTGGTATTCTGTGAGAGCGTGGTCTTCCGCCGGTCGAGCCGACCCATTCGTGCTACAACTATACTATTAATATAGCTGCAGCTTGGCTCTACCACGTAAAAAGCTTATTCTAGGGAAACACATGTGTTTTTGGAACCCTTGCCAGTATATATTGTAGCACGCAATTGTGATTTATATACATACCTCAGGTTTTAAAAGACGTCAATGAGTTTTTTCCCACGGAACGTCAATAGATCTATATTATGTTTTTCAAACACAAGTGACTGTCGATTAAGATACCCAAGCAAAGGGTATCTTAGGGCAGAGGGCAGCAGTATGCCATTTTCTTTTTCACTATCAATAAATTTAAACCAGTGTAAGCAATAAATGTACTGTTAATAGAAGATTGGGGGCTTACTTTTTATAGCTTTAATCTTGATATCGTTACCGTTACAGCCTATTAAAGTCCACTGCTGAACATCCTCCCCTATAGTCCTCCCCTATAGATTGCCTCATAGGGGGAATATTTGCTATAGTTGCCACGCTTGGCAAGCACAGTTTTTTATTTTTAGGCATTTTTAGGGAGACGCTGCTAACCATATCCTGATTTGTTTCTCTCTGTTCGCCTCTTACACCGCTTTTACACGGTGAAGTAGAAGGGGTTATTGTACTACTAAAGAGTACATGCCTGTTAATAACCCCTGCCGTGCTGTTTTAAAATGTTTTCATAATAATTGTATAAAATTTTATATTGCAAATTGTGCTTCTTTAGAAAATAAGTCCCGCTGAGTTTCTTGCTAGTTCTTCCCAGGACAGAGGTTTTTTTTGCGAACCAGTGTAAAAAGTAAAAAAGAGACTTTCAATAAGTATTGTGTAGTGTAATCTATATTGAATAAAAATGATTCTATTCTATTCTATTGTAAAGGTAAAATTGACCTTGTTAAGAATTAAATAATTGTTACGCAACCAAATTTAAAAGGCATTAAAGGAAGTCCGTGCAAGATCAAAGGCCTTCTTCCATGTATTTCCAGCGCAAAAGAAGGGCTGTATAATAGTCAAAAATATTTTTTCCTGGAAGTGTTTAATATTTTGGAGACCAATTATATACACAAGGAAAAAATCAGACCCAAGATACTACCCTGAGGTATTCCATAAGTGTGAGGCTAATCGTAACCACTTTCTACCAATGGACAGGCTACCAATTCAAGTCTTCTCTTAAGACATTTTTTCTATAATTTCAGTTGTGTACATCTTATACCGATATCTTCAAGTTTTATTAACAGTATATTGCTAGAGACCGTGTTAAAGGCTTTCGTAAAATTAAAAAAAAATCCCTATAGCTTTTTTTGTATTATTCTAGTTTTCTGGTAAAAGTAGATGTTTATATTATAATTTTTGCGTTTCAAAGATAAAATAAAAGACATTGATATTTGTAAAATACCTCCATTTTATTTCAATTGTTTAATCTTAATTACAACAATTAGAAATTACATCAATATTCATCATATTGCCTAAATACTTATTTTATATCTCATGAATGGTACTTTTTGTATAAAAAGATCTTATTTTCATATTTTAAAACTATTACAACCAATTTTATTAGAGAGTCGACCATGTTGGTGTGAAATTATGTCCAATATGGTCAAAAGTCTAATTTTATTCAAATCTCGAAAAATACTTTTCTTTTTAATACATTTAATATTACGAATAAACAATATCTATACGTTTTATAACACAGTACTTATACTTAGATATAATATGTATATAGCGTAATACACAGATAAAAAAAAACTGGCAGTACGAATTTAAAGTCATTTTACAAACGACTATTAACTGTTAAAAATACACTAATAATTATATATTTTAAGGATATAATAAAATTGTACGAATTAAATAAACCCTACCTATTTACACAATTCAATATTTTATAAATAGAAATACAAAAATGAAGTTACATTTTAAAACTCGCAGTTTCCAAATGTTATGACCAGAAATTGGAAATATGGTAATGGTAACATTTTTAGGAACTGGAGTTAATTTTGTACTGTATATAATTGTCGATGTGTGAATTGTGACGCGAAATGATTTTTTTTCGTTTATGGCACATCCATTATGTTACCAGTATTTTAAAGATATTTTTGTTCGATCGTTTTACTTCTTGCCATTTTCTAGGCACTTGCATTGGGCATTGTGCTTGTGTTCTGTACCGACAATTTCTGAAAATGTGGGTTTGAAGGAAGCGCCCGGCGCGACATATTGCGGGTTAGTGCCACTTCCAGACGTTTCGTAGGTTATGAACTGTGGTTTAGTCGTGTAGGTTACGATTTTCGGCTTGGTTGTATAGGTTATAAGTTTTGGCTTGGTTGTGTACGTGATAATTTTGGGCTTTGTAGTGAAAGTGAATATTTCTGGTTTCGTTGTGAATGTAACGATTTCTGGCTTGGTTGTGTAAGTTACGATTTCGGGTTTGGTGGTGAAGGTGTAATATTTTGGTTCGGTTTGGAAGAACTGCTTCTCGGTGTAAGTGGAGGAAAATGAGTTTGATGATGGTCCATTGTTGTTAGTGCCGAAGTTTGAGCTGCCTGAACTATAGTCCGATGAGCTTCCACCAAAGTTTCCAGAGGCGAATTGATTCTGAGATCCCGAGTATTGATTGTTGCTTGATGTACTGAATTGGCTGTAATTGCTTGAACTGTACTGGCTCTGTCCATATAGGTTACCAGATGCTTGGTTCGATCCACTTTGCCCTTGACTCACTTGTCCAGCACCGAACTGTGTGAACTGCCCTAGTCCACCTGCACCAAACTGTGTGAACTGGCCTTGTCCGCCGAACTTATTCAATCCCCCAGTAATGGTTCCCTTAATTCCGTTCGTGTACGTGGTCCCTTTGGTACCAGATGTGATTTGTCCAGTGTAGCGAGTCTGAGTGACCTTAGTACCACGAACAAACTGAGTGAAACGAACGCTCTCAGTTAGACCGATGGCCCATTCGTACCACTCAATGTCGAATTTGTAGAAAGCGGCTAGCTGGTTGCCGGTCTGACAACCTGTAAACACATAAAATAAATATTTTTAAATTGGTTTTATTTTATTTGCAATTAGTTTGTAAAATCTTACCTCAGAGGGCTACCATTAAGAGCATACAAAACTAAAGGGAGAGAGAGAGAAAGAGAGAGAGAGATTAACAAATTACAAACTCTAATTTATGTCAAACCTCTCTATAACGTCAAAGAGAAACGTACTCGTATAGTTATTTTCATATCTGTCTTATAATGGAACTTTTTTTAATATACTACGAAAGTTTTAATAAAGTTTTGTTGTTTGTGGTCTTACTCAAAGTAAAATATGTATATCTTTACCTGAATCCCAAGAGTAGACTCCCTGTAAGACGAAGTAACCATCACCAGTTGTACAAGCGAGAGCACTTCCAATGTCCACCTGAAAGTATACCACAGATTATATAAAACACATAGGTGTGCGGTTTATGTTACAAAGGAAAACCACCACAAAGGTACGGCGATGGATCTGGAAATCGCATATCCAACAAGATGGCGAGACAGAAAGCGCAGAAATTTACTCTAAAAGTAAAATTAAACTTGTCGATTATAAGGTAACTTTTTATAAAGGATAGGTGTACCAAACGAGAATACAGTCCACTAGATTGTAAGTAGTACCATTATATCCTATAGACATCTAGATTTACGCTTGATTAAGAATCAAAATGAACATGCGTTGCACCCCTGAGAACTAAAATGGAATGTCTCGTTTCCAGTAAAAAGGGTCGCCGGTTCTCTACACTCGCCATACAAAGCACAGCAGTATTAAGCTGCTATTTCACGCCGGTGTTCTGTGAGAGCGTGGTCCTACGCCGGTCGAGCCGAGCCATTCGTGTTACAGCCATAACATAGCTGCAGCGTGGCTCTACCACGTACTATAAAAATCCACCAAATACCTTTAAGATACAGTCTTTGAGGTAGGCCTTTGTTCAGCAGTTGGACTTTGAAAAGGTTCTAATGGATGGAATGGATAGTACGTTCTTACGTCTACCTATCATTACCACCTAATGTTAAGTGGCTACTGTAGTCCATAAACACTTACAGCCAGCTTTTAAAAAAAAGGCGGCTACAGATGTCACCTCTGAGGACTAAGATAGAATGCTTCACAGTCTGTAATTGTCTTTGCCTGAACACAGCAGTGGAAGCACTGCTATTTAGTAGGAGAAATGAGCAAGAGGGTGATACCTCCAGCCAGTAAACGTCGAGTAGTAGACTTTTGGATATTTACTGGCTTCAGAAGAAGAAGAATCACGTAAGTATACATACCCTGCAAATGTTGTTAAGAGGGTTAGAAGGCTCTCCACAGATGCAGCTCTCCTGGTCGTAGTTGTCCAGAAGGTGTGGGTAGTTCTGCTGGATCTTGGCCTCGCACTGTGTGGGCTCGATTAGAGACACGTTGATGCTGTGCATAAGGCTGCCTGAGAGATGAGCTGCAAAAAAAGAGAGAAAACATAATTAAAGAAACTCTACTACTGCTAATCTTCACCATTAACTTAAGCCCATAATGTACATGGTAATGTCTTTAATTCTGTTTGAACTATTTTTATAGATTGTTTCATAATATCCTTGATTGGGAGTTCAAAACTGGTAGTTTGTTGCTGAAAGTTTAAGCAGACGACCGGGGGCATTGAAAGTGTAAATATAATGGAATAGCTAAATTCATAACGATTCGTATGTGTATAAGTCTTATATATACATAGCTATCATACAAAATTAAAAATATATCATTGTTTAAATTAGCGCCTGCCAGTATCGCGCGTCCTCCCGAACGGCCCGTGACACTTGAAGCGTAAAAAAATAAAATGGCGTGGCACTTAAGGGGTTATATTTAAGCCGCGTATCGATTACGCGCTCCTAGAGGTCGAACATTGGTGCGTGCTCCAGCCGTGCGAAATGGATACCGCCTTGGAGCGCGAGCCAAAGTTTCGTTGGAGCGCTCGAAGGTGGAGCGGGCCGCTCCATCTGGTGTCGGCTTTTTACCGCGCATCAAAGTAGTTTAAGTTTTGGCGCGCGCGCCAGTTGGGACGGTTGTTTTCATCATTGTGACGTGTGTTCGTTGCGTTCCGAGCTATGGATAAACAGAGTTGCCGTAAATTGATAAAATTACATGGTTCAAAATAACTGCTGTGGAATAGCAAAAATTCATCATAAAGCGTTTTTATCGTAATAAAGCGCTCAGAGAAGATGCATAGAATTATGAAAGTGGCAGCTGTTCGTACACGACCAGCTGACGCAGCAGGCGACGTAATCAATACATGGCTTAACGCGAACACTACACATTGAATAAAACTACTTTATCAATTTTATCCTGAAACGTCGATAATTATTAAATTTAAATTGAACGCGATAAAATCCATAAAAATAGGTTTATTCAATGTAGATTATCTCTCGCTCAATGGCTAAGTATATAGTCATGCAGCGAGCAATTGCAGCCGTTCTTGGCATGATACCACGGGGAGAATAACTATATTATGATAATTAAAGTTTTTAGTTTTTGTTTTATTTATTATAGTTTTTAATATTCTTTATATTTCAATGTAATGTAAAATTTTACCTATTAACTCAAAATGGCCGCTATTACAACAGCTGATGGTATAATTTTAACATTTGTGTCTTCCGTTGTAAAGATGTTGATTAATGATTTCACTTTATGATTAATTTCTTGAACGAAACACGAAACAAGATGGAACGATATGTCGAGTATTGGCACATTGCAATAATTACTCAAAAATTAAGTAATCCGACAGTGTTTGTTCAACGATATTACAAAAGAACGTGACAGTGTAGCCGCGGTGTAAGAATATCCACTACCCTATATCATCCCGTTAGGGCGTCATAGGAAAACAAATTAGGAGGTGGCAGCAGCGTCTTCCTAATAATGACTAATAATAAAAAAGTGTGGTTGCCAACCCGCTTGCCAAGCGTGGCAACTATTGCAAAACCCGGGCAATCTATGGGGGAGATCTATGTTCAGAAGTGGACTTTGATAGGCTGTAACGAAATGAAAAGAATTAGAACAAGTTGAAATTCAACGCCTCCAAAACACAAGCGTGTCTCTTCACTGCAAAAACGAGCCAGCTCACCTTGGCTCCTTCTTTCCGAAATGTATCACTGGAATACACCGACCGCCTTCAGTTGTAGGGGGTTGAGATATCCTTAAATATGAACTTCGGGTGGTTCATTGAGTCCAAGGCCAAAGCAGCTGCAAGGAAGCTAGGAGTCCTTGCAAAGGTGCGGCGATAATTAACGCCGGGACATCTGCTTACTTTACTTTTTTATATAAAGCGCAAGTCCGGTCGTGCTGCAAAATGCCACATAGCAGCTTTGGACTCAATGGAAAGACGTGCTAAGAGGCTTATTGGTGACCCGAATTTGATTAAACCAGTCTCGAACACAGGCGCAAAGTAGTCAGCTTTTCAGTTTTCTACAGGATGCATTTGGGAGAGCGTGCGCAGGAATTGCATAATTTAATTCCTCCCTCTCCCTTCCACCATCGGATAATCAGACGTTTAGCCAGTCTCCACCCCTTGATTGTTGACTTACCACGCATTCGAACCAAACGGTTCGCCACGTCGTTCATCATGCGTACAACAAAGGAGTGGAATAAGTTGCCGGCATCTGTGTTTCAAGGCAAGAGTGAATAAGGTTTTGTTAAGTCGGTGCGCATCATCATCTTAGGCTACATCACCACTTACCATCAGGTAGGATTGTAGTTAAGCGCTGGCTTAGAATAATATAAAAAAAAGTTTCGCATGGAACAAGTATTTGTATGGTCTACAAATAATAATCTTACTGGGTCTGCATGTTTGTCCTTGTGAAATTTATGTATGTAAACTGCACCCACGGTACAGGAGAAATTCCCAGTGTGGAGTAACTTTACTTTTAAAGAAAAAAAATTACTGACGTTATGTTACGAATAAACATAAAAAGTGTTACGTATCGATGTTACAATCTAAACTCCAATCTTGCTAAATTTGTTGTTTTGTTAACGTGCACACGTGAATTCAGCTTTTGCATGCGGCGTGAAATCACAAAAGATTTACATAAATATGGCCGACATAACATTTATTGACAAATGGGAATTATAAATTTAAATTTACTTTATAGTTAGAATGTTAAATCACCTTATAGATCATTCACTGTCTGAATAAAACTAATTTTAAGGATTTTATCGTGCTTAATGATGGCATTAGTACATCAGGACGTCGCACTCCTCAGTACTTTGTGACAATAGGTGACATGGCGGATAAGTAAATTTGTTAGAATAATGTTTGTTTTGTAATGTTTGTTAATGTTGTATTATTGTATTATTATATGTAAATTATGTGAGTTAATGTTTCTTTCTGTAATAATAGTTATATTTTCACTAGCTGTTCCCCGCGACTTCCTCCGCGTCGATTTATTACTTATATTTTACACAAGCTGTCCGCGTGGAGTTATTACGAACGGATGAAACCCATGAAGGGTTTTATTTTTTTGCATGGAACCCTAATTAATTTTCTAAAAGATTTTTCTAGCCTTAAAGTTACTTTTTACAACATCAGCTTTTTGGTCTTTTGGTCCAGCCATTTCGGAGATTAGCCGGGACAAACAGACAGACAGACAAAGACAAACATTTAAAAAAATCTTTTTTTGCTATATGTAGGTAAGTACCGTATATACTTTCATATGCATTTGGTAAAAAGCAGTTATTTTGATACTACTATACTACTAGAAATGAATAAACCAAATTACAGAAAAAAATAAAAAAGAGTTACAAATGTGCAAAATATTAAAGAGCAAATTACTGAGGCATTATTTCACGTATTTACCTAATTGTTTAGAAACTGATAAACTTTTATTTATAACGCAACTTCTCAATTAACTGGCCCGTTAGTCCCAACTAGCGACATCTGGTGAGCGTTAAATTATTATCCCTCATAAAAAAAAACAGTTAAAATCAATGCTCCACAGACGCTCCACAGCGCTCTCAAAAACGTGAGTAGACCTATACCAAGCAGTAGGATGTCTTTACACTGTAACTTTACTTCATATTGTTTTAGTACAAAAATCTCAAATGGTTGCAAAGATATAATTTTGCATCTTGCATTTACTCATATAAAGTGTGTAGTGGCGGTGTAAAAATAACCACTAGCCCATATCGTCCCATAAGAGAATAATAGACAGCGGCATTTTCCTGATAACAACTCAAAATAATATATATAATCTATGGCAAAATCCCCACTATAAGGCAGTTTATGGCGAAGGCCTACGTTCAGCAGTGAACTTTTATAGGCTGTAATAGATGCATGTATAGAAGATAATCTACCAGGAGCACATAACCCGCTGAAAGGAGAAATTGTTAAATCAACAGTAACATTTACCAATCATGCCAAATAGCCCTCCTATGAGGCAATCTATGAGGAGGTCTATGTTCAGCAGTGTACTTTTATAGGCTGTAATAGATGGATGTGTAGAAGATAATCAACCAAGAGCACATGACCCGCTGAGAGGTGAAGTTATTAAATCAACAGTAACATTTACCAACTTTGGCAAATATCCCTCATATGAGGCAATCTATGGGGAGGCTTATGCTCAGCAGTGGACTTTTATAGGATTTAATAGATGGATGGAATGGATTACGCATACGAAGTCGCGGTGGCGACTAATTTAGTAATTACAATTCTAGAACTTGTCATGCGATCCATTTTAATGGACGACCTCCGTCACGGCTGTAGCGTTATAAATAGATATAAAAACGTATTCATCGAATTTACCCACGACTGGTTTTTAGCAAATTTACATATGAATATATCGTCTCGCGCGACGTTAACATCGGGAAAACCTCCTAGCTATTTTAATGTTTGTTCAAGCTGCGGCTACCACGAAGTTGAACTAATAATTCGAGGCAGACTGGTATAATAAGTGGCCTAAATTTTCTTTTTTTTTTTAATAGAACTGAAGTGGCAAAAGAACTTACAGCCCACCTGATGGTAAGTAGCTACTGTAGTACACCTGCAGCCGACTTCAAACCAAGAAGGCCAGAAAAGCGTCGCAACCTCTGAGGACTAAGATGTAATGCTTCATAGCCTGTTACAATACTGGCCCGTTATACCCTTGAGACTGGAATACAACAGTGCTGATGCTGTATGGCGGCAGAAATAGGCAAAAGAGGGTGTATCTACCCAGACGGAGTCTGAGGCAGAAGGGATTCTTACCACCTTGTTGCGTTTTTTTTTTAATCATCTTTATTCAGGCAAATTACACCCAGTAAAATCAATGATTTTAAAATCAGTCTCCAAAATTTTTACAATAAATAAATCAATGTCAATACAAAATAACAATTTAAAATAATGAATCCAGTCAATGTAAATAGGCAGTAATGTCAGTATATAGCACCAGCATTCAAATAAAAAAAGAAATATCGAAATCGGTTCACCCAGTAAGAAGT